TGGTAATACTTTTTACAGAACTTACTAATTTGATTAAGTGATTAAATTTTTTCTTTTCCTGACTATGATTAATATTATATTTTGACCACCTTCTAATTAGATTTTTATACCCACAATATGAAGCAAATTCTGTCAGTCACTCAGTCATTTTAATTTCCTATGCTAAATCAAAAACTTTATATCAGATTGCAACCTTACATGGATATATGGTCACATATAATTAAAGGAAGATCCCTATTGAGTTTGAGATCAGTAAGTCAAAGGTATAGGTCATAGTTACTAAAAATAGACTAAAATTGGTGCAGAAAAATAGTTTCCAGATGCTGAATTTAATAACACACAAGGGATTGCAACCTTATCACATATATAGAGAGTAAGATCTCTAATGATTTTCATGTTAAAAGGCCAAGGTCATCGTTTCTTAAAAAGATCGAATTTTTTGCAGAGAAAGGATTTCCAAATGCTCAATTAAATACCTCATAAAAATTTCAAGATCATTGTTACCAAAAAGACTGAAATTTGTGCAAAAGAGTGAATTCATGATGCTTTATCAAATACTTCATATTGGTTTGCAACCTATCTTTAGTTGTGGTTACATAAAATGAGAGGAAGATTCCTATTGATTTTGAGGTTGCTATGTATGGCCAAGGTCATGTATACTAAAAAAAAGTCTAACATTTGTGCACAAAAGTTGTTTCAGGGCGCCAAATAAAATGCTTTAAACTTGCAAACTTCCTTGGATATGGGGTCACATACAATCAAAGGAATATTCCTGTTGATTTGAGGTTGCTGTCTTAGGTCAAGGTCATGTTTTCTTAAAAAAAAATATTTGTTCAGAAAAATTGTTTCAGGGGCTTAATCATGTTAATCGAATACTTTATATTGTATTGCAACCTTACTTATATATATACGGACACATATAATATGAGGAAGATCCCTATTCATTTAGAAGTCACTAGAAGAACATAACTAAAATTAAGATTTATGTAAGACAACAACACTGTCTCAAATCATCAGGAAAGAATAAAACAAGTAAAAACTAAGCCATCAGGTCACTATAAGCTGTTCTCCTTTTTATGGGGATGTGGGATATGTGAGCTTGCTCACCAAAGATTCTTGAATTTAAATTAATGTCTAGAATATTAATGAAATATTTGGCACTGGACATTAAGAAAACACAAATCGTAAAACCTGTAAAAGGATCCCTGATTTCATATCTTTCAGGGAAATTGTACCTTAGATGGTTTTGACAAACTTGTTTGATTTCCTTTGGTTGTGGTAGCTTCTTTATTCCTATATATCCTTAAAGACCTGTGCCTTCCCAAACTTTGGATGTTGAGAATCAAGATTGGCATTTAGATACAATAAATTTCCTATACATCATTTAGTTATAATGATGTTTGTATTTTGGTCTTTTTCTTTTTTTTGCCACGGCATTGTCAGCTTATTTTCAACTTATGAGTTTGAATGTCCCAAAAAATTTCAATAACTTTTCAGACAACGGACGCTTGTTTCATTCTGTGATTTTCTTCCATAACTTTTGGTTCAACTTAAACTTACTTGAGTACCTAGTATAACCAATTTAGCCATAAGAAACAAAATGAATTTCTTTGCTTTTCATTACAGATCTTATATAAAGTAAACTACACAAGGTATTCCATTTAAACATAAATGTACTTCAGACTCTAAATGTCATAATAACACTTATACCCAAACTGGCAAGAAATTAAAAGTTGAAGGACTAGCATTCAATCTCCAATCTATTATTGTTTAACTGTCAGGTCCAAAATGGAAATAAAATATTGTGTAGACTCTTATCTCCTGTTGAAGATTGTAAATTGACCTCCATATTTCATGGGTTTGTTTTGTGATGTTTAGTTGCTGTCTCAAAACCCTAATTGACTTAACTTAAAAGATTTTCTTTGCTTATTTCGTGATGAATTTGATGAATTTTCACTTGTAAATTTTATATTTTTAAAGGAGGATAAAAATTAAGAACCAGAAAAATCCAATAGTTAACCTTGCAAGCTGATTTGTACCTAGAAATCATGATATTTAAATCTCACAAAAAATACTTTACAGTACATTCAACATCTCCTTTAGTACTGTTTGAAAGACTATTAGTCCAAAGAATTGTGCATCTTGGAAGGTTGCTTTAATTTTTTGCTTTGACATCTTCCTGTAACTGGGGGATCTATAAATAAAGAGCTGCACCATGAGCGCATGATAAGCCCGTCACCTTTTCAAAGAATTAAATTTCATAACTCCGCAATGTCATATCAGAAATTTATAAAAAACTAAAGGGAGGTAAATTATTTTAATAGATATAAACCACTCACCAAAGTTTCATGAAAACTGCTCAAAGCACTTTTGAGTTATTGAATGAAAACTGGAAAATCCCCCCTTTTTATTAATAAAATCCCACAACTCAGAAACATAAAATCTAAAATTTATAAAAATTGAAAGCCAGCTTACGTCAATAGATATAAACAATTCATTAAAGTTTCACGAAAACTGCTCAAAGCATTGTTGAGTTATTGTCCGAAAACTGGAAAATCCCCCTTTTTTAATGAATAAAACCACACAACTCAGAAAAACTGCTTCGCTGAGCGCAGCTGGATACGCCCGCAGAGGTCCAACCCTGAACAGTTGGGGCAAAAATGGACACAATATTCAAACTTGATACAGGTCTGAATTTGGATTGTAATTAAATATTTGACATATTACAGGTTTCTGAATAAATGTAGTCAAAGAACTTGAAATTGGTTATATGAATTGAATTTATATTCAATTAAAGATTTCTTGCTGTTGTGCAATACACTGTGCTGTTGCGCAATACTTAGTAAATCTGTTGTCAAGACTATAAACAAATAAAGTTCAATTAATTCTCAATGTCATATTAGAAAATTATGGAAATCAAAAGGAGCTTACATCAATAAATATAAACAATTCACCAAAGTTTCATGGGAATTGCTGACAGCATTTTTGAGTTATTGTCAGAAAACTGGAAAATCCCCCTTTTTTAATGAATAAAACCCCATAACTCAGAAATGTAAAATGTAAAATTTATAAAATTCTAAAGGGAGCTTACATCAATAGATATAAACAATTCACCAAAGTTTCATAAGAACTGCTGAAAGCATTTTTGAGTATTTGTCCGAAAACTGGAAAATCCCCCTTTTTTTTTAATAAAACCCTGCAACTCGGAAACGTAAAATCTAAAATTTATAAAAATCGAAAGGGAGCTCATGTCAATAGATATAAACAATTCACCACAATTTTTTGCAAGTTGGTGAAAGTATTCTTGAGTTATTGTCCGAAATTGGAAAATCCCCCTTTTTTTAATGAATAAAACCCCATAACTCTGAAACATAAAATCTAAAATCTATAAAAAACGAAAGGGAGCTCACGTCAATAGATATAAACAATTCACCAAAGTTTTATGCAAATTGGTTAAAGCATTTTTGAGTTAATGTCCGACATGTTGACGACAGACGGACAGACAGACAGACGGACGGACGGACAGACGGACGGACAGACGGACAACGGTATACCATAATACGTCCCGTAAACGGGAGTATAAAAATCAACTCTAAAATTTATAAATAAATTGCTTCGCCGAGTGCAGCTGGATACAACCGCAGAGGTCCAACCCTGAACAGTTGGGGCAAAAATGGATACAAGAATCGCGCTTGATACAGGTCTGAATTTGGATTGTAATTAAATATTTGACACATAATAGGTTTCTGACAAAGAATAACTGTTATTAGTCAAAGAACTTAGAATTGGTTATATGATTTGAATTTATATTCAATTTTTTGCTTTTGTGCAATACACTATGCTGTTGTTTTCAAGTTAGCAAAAATCATCTGTTAAATGAGATTGACATTAAAGTTCTCCAAATGCTATAAACAGATGGGATGTGAATACCTGTGCAGACGAAGGGTCCGTAAAACGGTCATATTTGCCAGACATGAACGAATATGAAATCTATTTGTCCTAAACGACAAATTGGGATTTAGGACAAATTTTATTTTTTTACAGAAATAATTTCGGTCATTTCATTGAGATCGGGTTTCTTAATTGCCATTTTGCACTTGTTTTTGTTTTGTTATCCCTTTCCTGTAATAAAACTGCCACTCTAGTACAGTATGATAATCTTGAGGGCACTCCTAATAACTATATTAATGCCTCCGGGAAATATTGGCTAATGATCGCTAAGCACTTTTTACCTGTGTTTTTAATTCACACCTGACATTGATCACAATATAATATTATAAAGAAAATAAAATTCCATGACAACTGTCTTCATTATTTAATCACTTTTCAGCAAAGACAAGCATCAATTCTGATTTAAAAATTAAAACTTAATTTAAATTATGTAGAAAAAAGTAATTTTTCATGAGTAACACACATGATTTATTTACTATGTAATATGCATGCATGAAATTCTTTTCAGCAGATTATACACTAAATTGTAAAATGCAAAATGATTTCATGCTAAATAAAACAAGTGCAACTATTATCTGTAATATTCAAACACTTTTACAGGTAAAAAAATTTAAAAAGCCGGTGATTTCCTGTCAATAGTTGATAAACAAAACGAATCCGGAAATGAGTCCAGAATTACTCGTACTTTAGTATTGTCGCAAAACATCTGATTTTAATTTCTTCTTCAAAATTGAAAGAAATGTTAGCGATGTCTGAGAAATTTACCATTTTGAATCATTAAAATCGTTTCATTTTAAAAATGTTGCCTTTCCTTAACTGTTCTTGAACGTTTTTAGAAAAATGGTAAGAAAATTCATGAAGTAAATGCGATGAAACGTTCAAAACATGTTCTTTGATGCTATGAACCTAGTGTGATTTCGACAATTTTTTTTTGAAAAAGGGCACCAACTTTTAAGTTATCTCAAAATGACCAAAATTGTGTGAAAAAATTCCGGATCCTTGGTGCAGACACACAATTTCCATTATTCATCAGGCAGATAAAGACAAAATACTATCACAGTTTTATTTGAGATAAAAACAAACTTCATCAAAAATCTAACTTTGATACATCTGGCTTTGAGTTCAGAGTTAATTTACTAATATCTGTAGAACACTGACAATTTGAACCACAAGTTCTATTATTTGATTGGTCACTTGATTTATCACATGATTTCTGATCTTCTGAATTTTCTGTTGCATTCCTGGCCTTTTCAGCTTCCTCAGCCTAAAAAATAAAATAAACTCTCAATTGAAATTCTATATCACAGCTTAATGATGAATAACAGTACAATCATATTCTTAATCAGAGATATTGTATACAGACATGTTTATGTGACCTTACTGTACACCTAAATTTTTTTTTTTTCATTTTTCCCCGTCTCGATTTAATTATAAGCTTCATATTCCTTGTTCTTTGTAATTTTTGTTGGCATTTTTACTTGTCAATAATACATTAAAAGGACATTAAACAGAAATGACCAAACATACTGGACAGTACAACAGATCACATAAACCATTAATATCTGACTCCTCTAAAAGAATATAGGTTCAAACCAACCCTAACAACAAATTACACATAGCATGACTTGGAACGGGCACAAAATGGGTCGAGAATAAACCAGTTTTGCATGCCAAAACCTCCGTTGTCTATTTAGTCCATATGTCAACATCTAAAACACATTGTCTTGTTTCTGATATATGTAAGATTTCCCCAAAGGCTAGCTAGGGTAATAAAAATTATCTTCTTGGTATAATAGTAAGACAAAGGGTATTCATTAGGCTGTGCAAGATATAAAATATACTTATGTCAAATATGACAGGTGTGTTCATGTGAACAACGATATTGTTTTTGATAGTTTAATAATACTTTCTGATTGACCTAAAAAGTGGCCTATTATTTTATAGGATAGATTTTTCAGTACAATGAGAAAACAAGTGTAAAATAATCAATAATTTATCTACATACCTTCCTTCTTTCCTTGTGTGTTTTTCCTATACCTAGTCTGCAAAAAAACAAAGAATTCTCAGATTTACAATATCACAATAGAAAATTCCCTGCTCTTTATCGTTAAATATAATATAATTACATTGTATCGAGAACAGAAAAATATAGCTAATTCTATAAGAAACAGGGTATCAATGGGGGAAAAAAAAAAACGATTAAATTGTTAACCTAAATAAACTATTTTGTTTAACCATATTGACACATGGAATCTGGTGGAAATTGGATAAACTCACATACTGCATTTTGTCTACAGATTAACTAGCCATAAGTATCAGATACTACTTTTTTTTTTCAATCCAGAGAGAAGGTAACTAATTTATGTATATGAACTCCTCCTTTGCAAATAATACAGAAAAGACAGAAAAGACCCCTTTTCATGTCTACAAATTTTACCCTTTTTCTAAACTGTAAAACAAGCCAAATACAGATGCCTTATAATTTTGGTATGGCTTAATGATGCTGTGTAAAACAGTAAATATCTGAAGTAATAATATAACTAAAAAATCGTTACCTAGGTAATCCCCTGTTCAGTCCTTCTAACAATACACATGCTTTACACACAGGGTTACTAGACATGTAACCACACCTCGCACATGTACCTACAGAATAATCTTACCTAGGTAGTCCCCTGTTCAGTCCCTCTAACAATACACATGCTTTACACACAGGGTTACTAGACATGTAACCACACCTCTCACATGTACCTACAGAATAATCTTACCTAGGTAATCCCCTGTTTAGTCCCTCTAACAATACACATGCTTTACACACAGGGTTACTAGACATGTAACCACACCTCTCACATGTACCTAAAGAATAAAATTTCTAATTATAACAACTAAACAAATTTTTTTCTGAAAAAACAAAAAGTATGAAAATAATGATTCTTTAAATGGGTGCTGAATATGTCATTTCAATAAAGCTGTGGTATAATACTGAATATACCATGACTATCAAAAATCGATGAAGTCAAAATGTGTTGCAAACACAAAATAGTCATATCTTTTTAAATGCGGTCATCCAATCAGGACCATTTTTTTTAAGTATTGGAATATTTTTTTTTTATGTCAGCCAGTGGTGTTTTCTTTTATACCACAAGAATGCAATTTTTTTTTTGTAAATGTCATCCAAAGCAGTACGTAGGACAAAATATTCATGAAAATAAGAAATACCCTTGGTAAAATCTCTAACAAACCTAGGGTTGCCATTATAAATGATTTCTTAGGTAATGCTAATTCTTAAATTAAACATGAACAAATCTTAGTTGAAAATATTTGGTACTGACAGAAACTACTGTAAATATGGAAAATTTTGTCAGGGGTTATTTTTGCCTACTTTCTGATCACAAGAAATGCCCAAAAATATCTGCAGTGCAAATAGTTGTAGTAAGCAAACAATATTTATATGAAAGTCGAACTTATCCTCTATGCACAAATTTACCCCTACATGAAATGTTCATGCATTGGAATCGCAAAAATAACATCGCATCAAATTAACCACATTCCCAGTATATCTTTGATTTCAATGTAGATGCAATATTTCATTAAACCAAACTAAAGGAAAAGTTTGCTTTGTACATGTAACACAGTGTACATGTGAAATCTCAAAGAAAAGTTGGAATAACATTTGACATTCAGATTGTAATCTTTGTTAACAACAAGGTCAATGAAACTTGTTGTAAAACATGTCCTACAAATAGAAACCTTCAGCAAAACATTGAAGAAATGTGAACATTAGGACATTTTGTTTATATCAATTTTGCTGTCAACTTTTTTTGAGAGATTTCTTATTTTAGTCATCCATGCAAAAAATTAGTCACTGTGACTTATTGTTCTGGACTTACTGGGACAGAATTTTGGATCCTCAATGCTCTTCAACTTCGTTCTTTATTCGGCCTTTTTTCTTTTTTTAATTCGAGCATAACTGATGAGTCTTTTGTAGATGAAAAGCGTCTGGCGTACAAAATTTTAATCCTGGTATCTATGATGAGTTTATTTAATGAATCTTTTCCATACATTTGTTGTATACCGGTAAGTTCCAGTAAATTATGACACTTGGGAACAATTAAAACAGTTTTGCTTTTTACAAAGTTCACTGATTTGGAATTTACCGATTTGGTCCAGATGTCATTTTCAATACTGAACAACATAATCTGCAGGGACAAAAGTGGAATTTCTGAACTGGTCCATGGAACTGGAGTAAGTTAAACCTACCTCACTTAACATGGTATCTTACCTTGAACAGGCAATCTAACGTCTTTCTTGACTGATAAACTTTCTCCAGAATGTATTATATCTGTTAAATTACAAGAAATTAAAAATGATATCTCCTTAATGTGAAAAAAATTATTTTGAACACAATTGGCAACAGTGTATGTTATATCAAACACAACATCTGCAATGTTAACAATCACATTGTGTAAAATCCATGATTTAAATGGAGGTAGTGTTTGTGTGATTAGATTACAATAAGGAACAATGATCAACATTTGATCTCTGGTTGATAGTTGTCTCATTGACAATCATACCACATTTCTTTATTTAGTATCATATCTCTGTCTGTTCTAAATAAATTGCAATAGTATTTTGTTCATCAACGGTAGAGCATCTGATATCATTACATAAACACGTCATTATTTTAAACAAGAAAATTTTGTAAAACTAGAATATTTAGTTATTACTTATTTCTGAAACTTACCAAAGTAAGCCAACTAAGGAGGGCTAGCTATGAATGCATGGCTGAGGGGTTAGGTAGTTTAATAGTGTCATATTTACTTCTATATTAAAAAATCAGTGACCCTTAGTCAAGCATGCATCACCAACACCATTAAGACCAGGAGATAGAGCTGGATAGGCCATATTCTGAGGATCGACCAAAGGATTGATTGTTGAATTGCCTTGACATAGACACCAAAAAGGAAAGAGAAATGAAGGAAGACCTAAGGTAACTTGGAGGCAAATGGTCTACATAGAAAGAACATTGGATGGAGGATATGGAGAAAAGTAGCTCAACATGCAGAAGACAGACACAGAAGGAAGGCTTTCGTTGGCGGCCTATGCAACACACAGTGCAAACGGGCAGTTGTAAGTTGTATTGTAAAATGAAGCAGTTTGTCTTAATAATTGCATTTATTATCCTGAAGGCTTCATATTGTCATTCCTGGCTGATTTTTCACATTTCAATGAGCAGAAATCATGATAATCTTTATCTTTTCACTTAACAGATGTCTTTACAATGACACATTTTATCACTGTTTTCTGTCAATGATATACATCAGACTATAATATTTATGCTACCTATAATGGCACTGTTTTCTGTCAATGATATAAATCAGACTATAATATTTATGTTACCTATAATGGCACTGGGTCGTATTTTTTCAACATCTTTAATATATGCTCTGGCAAATCCTCTGGAAATAAATTAAAATTATATATCATAAAAGACAGACCTTTTTGACAATAGCTATCAATATAAATATCTTGTCTGTATTCCTAAGCTTTTGGATTTTTGTACCTGTTAATGTTTGATGATAAATGACATCAGAGCATAAAACAAATAAACAAATACTTCTAAATCAAAAATTATTTGAGGATTATAATTTTTCACTGGATTGTTGCATCAATTTGGTTCGGAAAGTAAGCAAAATGTTTCTTTGTTCAAATTCTGGACCAACCAAAAGCAGCATGTCTAAGAGTTGATCTTGAAGATAAATAAATGGGGAATGTGTCCATGGAACACAGATGATGCCCCCACTTGCATATAACGTTATAAAGGGACATAACTCAAGAACAGTAAAAGTGACGTTACCCAAATTCAAACTTGATCTGTGTTATGTGGTAATAAGCATTGTGTATAAGTTTTATAACATTTGGTTGAGGCAAACTAAATTTAGAGAACAGAAACCAAAAATTCAGCAATTTTTCCATTTGTAAAGTGCATAACTCTAGAACGGTAAAAGTGATGCCACCAAAATTCGAACTTGATCTGTGTCATGTGGTAATAAGCATTGTGTATAAGTTTCATAACATTTGGTTGAGGCAAACTAAAGTTAGAGAACAGAAACCAAACATTCAGCAATTTTTCCATTTGTAAAGTGGCATAACTCTTGAATTGTAAAAGTAACGCCACCAAAATTCAAACTTGATCTGTGTTTTGTTGTAATAAGCATTGTGCATAAGATTCATAACATTTGGTTGACGCAAACTAAAGTTAGCGAATGGAAACCAATTTTTAGAAGTACGGATGGACGGACATGGGTAAAACTTAATGCCCACTACGCTAAGGGGGGGGGCATAAAAAACTTCTTCAACTGATTTAGTTTCAATATTCATCTTACAAAATTTCTAATCTAAATTTTCCTTTAGAATGAATAAGAATCCTGGAGTTGTCTCCCTTGCTCTGCAACGGCTACAGTAATTTATGTAGACTTGATTCCAGATACTAGATATTTCCTCTGAACAACAGTAACAGTATATTAAGGAATGAAACATTATTTGTCCAGCTTTATATGATCTCTTAAGAGAACTATTTATACCAAACATCTGTGGTTGAAAGATAAACATCATGTTTTGAAAGCTCAAATGGATAACTTTATAGTAGATTCATTTGTTTTCTGAGAATTTTTCATGGATTTCTTGGGAATACTAGGTAAACAAAAAATTTCAGTCTTCAACAAAGTATAAATTTCCTCTAGGCTCTCTATGAAAAACTTGTATGGGTACGCAATAAAAATTAAATTTTTCCTCAATCCACAAAAATTGATAATAGATGAATCCATTGTAAGTAAGAAATGGTTGAATATTAAGGACTAATTATACTTTACCTGTAAGCATTTGGAGAGTATATACATTCAGTCGAAAAATAATCTAATTTCTTGAAATATGCATACCTGAAAACATAATAAAATATTTAATATTTAGAGATTACCATAGCAGTCAACTTTTTACATCCCAAAAGGCATGATGCAAGTTTTCGATGATTTGTCAAAGAAGTTTCTCCACATTTTTTTCTTATGTACTTTTCTTTATTTTTGAAACTTAATGAATCATGTATAAAAAAAAACATAATTAATAATTTCAAATAATTCAATTCTTCATGAATTTTTCACTATTACATTTGTATGAAAGGATTCAAAAATTATAAATGAACCTTTAATACAAAAATTGTTACAGATAACATTCATGGTCTTACTCAACTTATGACATACCAGATCAAAGTAATGCCATTACTTTATTTTTTTTTTTTTATTAATATCAATGTTGATATCATTACATGTACAGCAGGAAAGCCATAAATAAATTCGGTCTTATTTAGGAATTAACACATTTTTTATTACATGTATTGGGAATATCTGACTATGAACAAAAAGGTGGCATTTCTCCACATAACTCCTATATGTGCAGTTATGAAAAATAAACTAATTTTTGTGCATTTTCATCATTACAATATTTATTTGTCATGTTTTACTTCTTCAACAAAAACATGGCACAAAGAAAATTGACAAATAATAATATAAAAGTATAAATTAGAAATGTTACTTACATAACAATTTCTTTTTCATAAGTATATTTAAATGGTTTACATCTTGGTAGAGCTCCATCTGTTCCCTGTAAAGAAAAGAAGTTGATTAGGAAAGGACATGAAGTATATGTACATTACAAAACAATTCTTATCTATGAAATGTAGGTAAATAACAATGTACTCTATATAATTAACATACATTTATACTGTAAGATAAATTTAAAGGATTATGGTCACATAAGACAGGAATTCTTTATATACAGGTGAACATTTGACTGTAATATATGGTTGCCATTAGACATCAGGGTTTGCTGTTTGTCTTGTCTTGTTAGTCTAACGCCTGTCTTGTTGCTTCTGACTTGTCTCATTTGTGCATAGTCATCTAAATTTTGATTATTATTTTTGTACTCATATGGAGCAGAATTTATCTCAGAACTTTTGAAAGACAAGAAGGAAATAAAAGAAGAATGTGTCTGAGGACAGGAATGCCCCTGCTCAAGCTTTGCAACGAAAATGGGACGGACGGAAAGACGGAAAGACGGAAAGACGGACGGTCAAGGGTAACACTTAATGCCCCCAATGCCTACAGTGGGGACATAAAAACATCTTACAAAATCCTGGTCATAGATCCAAAATGTCAATATTGGTCATCTGATATTATTATTGCAGTAATTGTTATATGTTTCTGGACTAGAAACTTACTACTTTTTATGACATTGAAAATGTATGGCAGAAGATGCATGCATAGCAAGATATGCTTACAATGTCAATGCGACTGGTCAAATTCCACCCAGTGCTTATGCTTTTCTTAATGTTTTTTCTATTTATACCTGGAATTGTGCTGTTTTGTCTAATACATCAGTATGTTGAGCAAAGGGATTAATTTCTTAGTTTGAATAATTCCAAATCACAGCTTAGATATTTCTAATAAATGATCAAATTAATATATTTCTGTATATAGGAATGAAGAGTGTACATAAGAATACAGACTGATGCTTGAAATGGTCAAGTAGACACTATCACTTGACAGTCCAAGGATACAAAAATCTGGTTTACCCATAAAACATTAAAAATAATGTCAGAAATCAGTGTACAGAGAGAGAGATTTTTTGGTCATGGAAATGATATGAATACACATATCAGTGGTAGATGTAATTATGTCAACTTACTGTTGTTATAGCTGTACATCTACGCAGTCTTCCTATGTCTCCTCTTAAAACTGAAATAATAATAAGTTAAGATTACACTCCTCTTAAAACTGAAATAATAATAAGTTAAGATTACACTCCTCTTAAAACTGAAATAATAAGAAGCTAATATAACAATGGGCCTTTGCATTTCACACATTGCTTAACTTTGACCTATGCAGAAGACTTTTAATTCAGCAAATCCAACAAGTGATTCAAATACCAAAATGCTAAATTTACTGTGACATTCACGTTATCTGATCTGTACTTGTAATTGGATTTTAATTCATTAATTCATTATTATATAAAGATTATTTTTCAATGCGAGGATTGAAATTTGCAAATAAAAAAAAATAAGGAGATGTGGTATGATTGCCAATGAGACGACTATCCACCAGAGACAAAATGAAGTGGATGTAACCCATACTGTGTAGTAAGTTTTAAAAAAGCCCTGACATGACACAGTTTTAAACAAGAAATACCAATGGCTTTATGATAAAACAATAAAACAAAAGCAATAAAATGCTTCGCTGGGGCGCAGCTTGATACGACCGCAGAGGTCGAACCCTGAACAGTTGGGGCAAGTATGGACACAACATTCAAGCTTGATACAGCTCTGAATTTGGATTGTTATTAAATATTTGACACAGCATAGGTTTCTGACACAGAAAGAATGTGGTCTAAGAACTTGAATTTTTTTAATTTACCTATTATGGTCCAATGTCCAAAATCAAAATACATGGTTAGATTCAGCATATCAAAGAACCCCATATATTCAATTTTTGTTAAAATCAAACAAAGTTTAATTTTGGACCCCAACTTGGACAAACTTGAAAACTGGGCCCATAATCAAAAATCTAAACACATGTTTAGATTCAGCATATCAAAGAACCCCATATATTCAATTTTTGTTGAAATCAAACAAAGTTTAATTTTGGACCCCAATTTGGACCAACTTGAAAACTGGGCCCATAATCAAAAATCTAAACACATGTTTAGATTCAGCATATCAAAGAACCCCATATATTCAATTTTTGTTGAAATCAAACAAAGTTTAATTTTGGACCCCAACTTAGACCAACTTGAAAACTGGGCCCATAATCAAAAATCTAAACACATGTTTAGATTCAGCATATCAAAGAACCCCAAGAATTCAATTTTTGTTAAAATCAAACTAAGTTTAATTTTGGACCCTTTGGACCTTAATGTAGACCAATTTAAAAAACAGGACCCAAAATTAAAAATCTAAATACACGGTTAGATTTGGAATATCAAAGAACCCCAATAATTCAATTTTTGATGAAATCAAACAAAGTTTAATTTTGGACCCTTTTGACCTCAATATGAACCAATTTGATAACGGGGTCCACAAATAAAATATCTAAATACATGGTTAGATTCAGCATATCAAAGAACCCCATATATTCAATTTTTGTTGAAATCAAACAAAGTTTAATTTTGGACCCCAATTTGGACCAACTTGAAAACTGGGCCAAAAATCTAAAATCTAAATACATGTTTAGATTCAGCATATCAAAGAACCTCATATATTCAATTTTTGCTAAAATCAAACTAAGTTTAATTTTGGACCCTTTGGACCTTAATGTAGACCAATTTGAAAACTGGACCCAAAATTAAAAATCTAAATACACTGTTAGATTCGGCATAACAAATAAATAAATGTGATCAAAGATTTTACAAATCTAATGCGCCATACTGTGCAATTAAAGATTACTTCTTAAAATTTTTCAATATTTGAAATTTGAAAAAAGAATAATATTTGAAGAATAATTCTTTTTAATTTCTGAAATCTGAAATGAGAAAAAATTGACCCCCCACAATTTCTTTTTATCCCCCCCCCCCCTTTTTTCCCCCAAAAAATTCTTTCCCTCAAGATATGGTCATAATCTCAATTCAAATTTCCAATGGAGTTGGCAACCATAATTACCCATTTAAATTTACCATAGTGCTAACTTAATCTATTTTATAATAGAATTAAAAATATAGTGTCAAATCTTTCATATGGATTTTTTTGTAAAAAAAAAAGATGCAACATTTGCAGATATTTTTACTGGTCTTCCTTTATAAATATGCATTTCTTTAAACATAATTTAAAAGCAGTGTAAGGGAAGTAACCAAAATGTTGTATTTGGATTACCTCCCTTACACTGTTTTAAATTATCTTTATTGTTCATTAACCATTACTTTATACATAATTTAAAAGCAGTGTAAGGGAGATAATTTCAATGATGTATTTGATTTATCTCCCTTACACTGCTTTAAATTATGTTTTGTACTAAAGTATTTGTCCATTAACCAGGACAACCTTGTTTTTCCCCCTTTTTTGCCCCTAATTCCTAAACGGTTTGAGCCATAACCCCCAAAGCAAATCCTAACCATCCCTTTGTGGTATGGAAACTTGTAGTATAATTTCAGAGAGATCCATACACCGTTCCACAGTTATTGTCTGGAAACTAGAAAATGCTTATTTTTGGCCCCTTTTTGGCCCCTAATTCCTTAACTGTTGGTACCATAACCCCCAAAATCAATCCCAACCTTCCTTTTGTGGTATTTAACCTTATGGTCAAATTTCAAAAAGATCCATTCACTTAAACTAAAGTTAGAGTGCGAAAACCAATGTGTCTTCGGACGACGACGCCGGACGACGACGACGAAGACGCCAACGTCATACCAATATATGACCACAAAATTTGTTTGCGGTCGTATAAAAATGACAGACAGCATCCAATGATAACCATTGATTTTTCAAAATTATTTGCTTGTTAAATGCTTACCGTTCATTATAACAGTTTCAGCTATATCATCTGCATTATGTCCTACAAAACAAAATGGCTGTTAAACAGGAGGTCATTATTGTCTTAACACGGAACACTAGGATTCTGCAAACATGGCAATGTTATGATACAACTAGGATTCTGCAAATATTACAAAATGAAAACATTTACAATTCAACAAATATAAGCAAAAACTCCCAAGATCTGTGAATATCTTAAGTCAATTATTGATTCCATAATTATTGCAAAGTCACAACACCTAAGATGTCTCATTGACGTTTACCCAGCATCTTTCATTAACTGGAAAAAAATTGTACAGTACCTATCAAATCATAGATTTAAGAGATCTACAGTAGCCATTATAAAAATAAGGAGATGTGGTATGATTGTTGGTTACAATACTATTCTTTTCTTTTTTTCTTGTTTTTCATCATCTCATTTATCACCAGGATGAAACTTTGTCAATTGTAGATATAGAGCTAATTGATCTTTTATAATGCTAAAATCAAATTTAATAGACTATGCAAAAATTGCCTAAACAGTGATAAAAAAAATTTCATGTCGTCCTTTTATTTTGTGCTATGCTTAGATGGTCAATGGTTCATGTCCATCTGTAGTGTATAAGTTGTCTCAGGTATCTGTATAGTTTTTCCCTCTTGATTATTTTTTTTTCAGGAGTAAATAGCTGCCATTTTTATCAACCATTATCCTTATCGAATTGAATAAACAATAATGCTTATCATAAAATGCATTAATGTTAAAACTGATTGCAAAATTTAGGAAACGAAAATATATGTCCATTGGACACCTTGCCCCACTTGCCCTATATTTCTATGTTCAGTGAACTGTATAATCTGGGTCAAAACTCTCATTTGTCTTATAATTCAAAAAGTTCACATCATGGTGAAAATGTGTACCAAGTTTTAAGTTGATGTGACCACAATTTCATGGTAAACCTGAAATGGGACACATGAACGGTGGACAGACAGACAATGAGACATACTTGAAAACATAATGCCCCATCCTAATATAATTAGAGTGGCATTACAACATTTTTGAGCATTTTCATTTCTGAACAGCTGAAAATCCCTAAATTTTAGTAGTCATATTATACAATAATAATACCTCAGTGTTCCAGCTAGGATTTGAAAATAGAGGGGCGCGTTTTTAAAAAAGGGCACTTTAGCGCGTTCTCACTGAAAAAAATCAAATACTTAATATTACCACATAATGACATAAACTGAGAGCACTAATAGTCATTACTATATTCATTTCTCTTTCAGAATTACAGATTTTTTCAAAGAAGAGTTCAAATGCAAATAAATATTAAACAACATTGACAAGTCTTCTGTTTTTTTCTTTGAAGAAGGTTGTCACACATTGATCAAGAATTTTTTCAAATTTAGTTTCATCACAGTTTAATTTTACAGTTAATATTTTTGTTAATGTCTGTGTTTTCAAGTTTGCCCTGTGACTTGTCTTTATCAATTTGACCTGAGAGAATATTCTGTCCACCTCTGCTGTACTGAGTGGTTGTATTATTGCAACACTGAATAGTTTTGCAACAAGAGGGTACATAGATAATAGGTTTTTATCCTTATGACAAGGTGAATGAAATAGCTCTAGCAGACTAGGTAAGGAACGATCTGTAAGTTCTGCTGATGACACAAGAGCTATAAAGTCCTGCCATTGAATAAGGAGAGTTTCAGGGTCCATGTCAAATGTATTTGCCAGAGCCTCTATCTCTGTATAACCATACATTGTTTCAATGTTGTCTGTTTCTGTAAGGTCTGAAATGGCCAACTGATCGATTGTGTCAGCATCCTTAAATCTAACTGTTATATTTTCAATTAATCCATTGAGAAAGCACTCACTGATTTTAGTGTCAAAATCTACTGTATATTTCAAGTTGAGCGTATCTAATAATATCAATAAGTTTGTCGAAACGGATTTCAATAAGAAAATTGATACAAAAATCGGACTTCCGAGAGCTCCGTAATCGGCACAATAATAAATTAATTCAACTTTGAAAGTTTATTATCAATTCAACAAGCATCTCCGTATATTTCATGTTGAGCGTATCTAATAATATCAATATTAAAGTTAGTCAAAACGGATTTCAATTCAAGAAAAATGATATAAAAATCGGACTTTCGAGTGCTCCGTAATCGGCGGAATTTACAATAGAAGAACAATTGCGATATCTGATAGAAACCTTAATTTCTTCTACTCGATTTTTCATAAAAGTAAAGAATTAAATTATTTTTTTACCTTTGATGGTCATTATTCTTGAAAAAAAGATGTAATTAAATAGACTGGCAAGTCTTTGATATTTTCTTCTTGTCATTTTCGATTTGGTCAATTTTTCTTTTTTTCGTCGGCATTTTGTGTGTTGACGATTTACAATATACTATTGGAATGATTCTTTTTTAATGAACCTTATTTTATAAATAACAAATACAATAGACATGAACATCGTTCACATTTATTTTATAAATTCTATTTTGCATCGTCAGGTGTTAAAAAATCAATTCAATTAACTTGGATGTTTTGGTGCTTCAGGGCAAAGGGATTAGACAGGGTCATAAATTTCACCTGATTAAGTAATTGACTCTAATAAAATAGGTGATTATATACAGGTAACAAGTGTCAACAATTTTAATCTGTTGTCTTAATGAAGTGTGTGTATAAAGAACTCAACAAAATGGCGACGATATGAGGAAAAAAGATCGTTTTTAAAACTTTTTTTAAAAGTGCACAGAGGGGCGCATCAGAAGGGCAGAAGGACAGAGGGGCGCTTAAAAAAGGCAGAGGGGCGCAAAATTTCAGGGGCGGGGCGCGCCGCCCCTCCATATCATGCTAGCTGGAACACTGTACCTGTTACAATTTTATCAACTTTCATCATCATTGCTCCTCTGTCTAATGCTTGCCTTCTAAATACTCCACAGAATGTACCTGCAATTATTGAATTAGTCAACATAATACAGTTATTCTGTTATATTTCCTGAATACTAAGTTTCATGGATTTCTAGAACAGACGGAAAATATAACTTTAATGCTTAAAGAATTACATTTTTTTCATTTATTTTGATTAAAAGAAAATGACCCAAACACAAAATTAAACACTCGCTGAACATGCTGAATGGAAAATTTCTCTCAAAACACAAGACCTGTTTCTATATTATTCTAAAGACCTCAATATGCAAGTCTAACATATGCGGCTACATTCATGTATAAATTTGCGTATATATTTATAAATCTGAATAGAGACAAGTGTGTTGTGTGCAAAGAGTAATTATCACAATTTCACAATTTATATGTTTCTGAAAGCGATTATTTCCCCTATCATAATATGTCAATATTTTTTGGTTTGAATGAAAACTTACAATTATTTTTCAATCCTATTTGTTTAACTATTGCATCCATTGACCATCCATACAAATCCTGGAAAAGAAAACAAGAAATTTTCTTGCATTGACAAATAATAAAATTTTACGTTTTTTTTTCATTTTATGCTGTGCAAAATGATTATGCCTTTTTATAGTACAGGTTATTTTTTTGGTTAGGTTTTACTTCAAAAATAGTTAAACTTTGGTAAGAGACTCCTTTTAGGGGTTATCCGTACATTTTGCTTTTGAATTCCAATGTTTGAATGTAGTAAATTATTGATAAATAGACCTACTACACCAATTTACCTGTGCACTACAAAATGTTTTGAAATTATGTTGATGCAAATATAATTTTTTGCATCTTTTAAAACTAAAATAACACTTTTCAATTTATGAGTCCAAAATGCTTTTCAAACTTTACCTTCATCATGTTCATATGGAACTCTCAAAGCCAAATTTAAAAGCTGGATGGATAAATATTATACCACGCTAATAGAGGGCTATACGACCAAAGGGACATAAATGTATTAGCCAAATATCTCTAAAGTCAACTTTGCTGAAGGGAGTTGGAACCTTAGTTTCTTTACAATTTCTGAATTTATCAAGGGAGAATTTAAGAAAGGTTTGTTATCAATCATGTCAGTACCAAAGCACTGTCTAACTTTCACTCAAATGAACTCTCACCTCATATGATACAATCTTTAATGGTAAATCATACTGTATCTGGTTTCTCTTTACTGTCTGAAATGATAAGGAAATGGATGTCTGTTAATGGCAAGATGTACTGTGAGCAATTGCTCCCTTAGTAGTGATACCTCCGCTATAAGTATTCTGTAAACAGGAAGTTGATAAGTGATGACAGGATGGAGCATGCTTACATGAAACTTGATATTTAAATGTCACAAAGCTGTGATTTGTTGTTCCTGAGTTAAATGTGACAAGGTACGGACACACAACACAGATGGACAGACAGAGGACTAAGATAAACCATTATACTCCCTTCTTCAGAGGGAGGTATCCATATTTTGCTGCTGATTTTTATATACATATGTACAGGTATACACATGAGACAACATAGCTAATGATAAAATTTTACCTATATATATTACAAATGTTTAGGTTCCTGCAAAATGTTCTCCCAATATAGGGTTCTCAAAAGTGAGAAAAATGCCTATGATTTTTGTGGATACATTGTACTGTTTGAAAGAGTCTGGTGTTTATAATTCATGCTAGCTATAGGACTGTAATCAATTAACACCATTTCTTGTGTGTGGGCTTACTTACAGATTTTCAAAGTGAAAATTAGGCAAACCCTTAGGGATTAACTTTCCAGAAGTTACTTACCTCTAGTGAATCATCCCTGTATCCAGTTATACCCTCATCTACAGATAATAAGACTAGATTCAGACCGTATTTATACCTCTGGTTTAGTTCTTTCATTGTGTAAGCCAGAACTGTAGAATCTGAAACAAAACATTTGTGATCACTTTATTATATTTAATTTTCATTATAACTTATGCTCTACTTACTAAGTAGTTGTGTTTATAAAAATAAGGAGATGTGGTATGATTGCCAATGAGACAATTATCCACCCAAGTTCAAATGAAGTAAATATTAGCAATTATAGGCAACCTTTCAGCCTTCAACAATGAGAAAAACCCATATTGTATAGTTGGCTATAAAAAGCCTCGACATGAAAAATATGAAACAATACAATTGAGAAAACTAACAGCCTTATTTATAACAAAACAATTTACGAAAAAACAAATTTGACAGACATGAACCAACGACAATTGTCGGTTATGTTCAGGTTATATTAAGATATTCACAACTCCTGTAACACAGGATAAAATGACATTAATTTACCATTTCCTAAAACGAAACATACTCTAAAACCTGACTAAATTGAACCATACTTGAATCTGAAACCTGTCTAAAGTAAACTCTTGTATCATTTCATTCTATAGTAACTAAACCTGTCCAAACCAAACCTTAAGCCATCAAAAGAGTTCTGATTTAAACATGCATCCTTGTGACACTCAATAAACCAATTTCTATAATGTTTACGGTAGTCGATTTATCATGTTTATACTTTCCTAGAGTGGTTGATTCATTTTTATAAAGAATATGTGTGGTTTTTATAATAATCAAAATGCTCTGCAAGTTTTACATTTTAAATTTGAAAATTTAACTGTCATGACTGTCTACACTCTTAAGTGGAGAAATATCATACATGTAGCATACACAACGCAGTTGTAGAATATATATGTACAAGTTCATCCTTATCTACTGCTGCCAGAAACCTACCTTTCCCTCCAGATGCACCAATAGCCACAGTTTCCCCTGGTGTAAATAATTTAGCATCAACAACAGTCTTGTGGATTTCCTCTTCAAATGCATAATAAAAACATTCTTTACATAATGCGTCTCCCTAGAACCAAAAAAATATGTGTATTAAATATACAATTTTCCTTCTTTAAAATAGTCAGTCCTCTTTGTTTTATTTGTCTTCTCTCTATCTATACCATGCATACCAGGGAAAATGAAAGATATTAAGAAAAATTTTACTTTATTTTCTGAGCAGGAATATCATTTTTCACTTTATTTTATATTTAACTTCAAGTTTTCTTCACAATTTTCGACATAACTACTGAAATTTAGTAATTTTTGTGATTTTTTCTTTTACAGCAAAAAGTGGAGGATAAGTACCACATTAATGACGTTGATTAGATCTTGCATCTTAAATCCTATAAGCATTAAATGTTTGCAATTTTTTTTTCTAAAATATCATATTAATTAAACTCATATGTTTATGCATTGATCAACAATGGCAATAATAAATGCCCACAATAGTATTTTAGTCCAAATTGATTTACAGACTTTTGTGAGAAAAAAAAAAGCTTCAAAATAATCTTCCATTTACTACACATACTGTATAATGTACTTTCAGAAAAAAATCTTAAAATGCAGACTGGTTCTGAAATAAGGTTGCAAAAACAAATTCTCATGAAAAATAAAATCCTAGCCCCTATCGAAAAGAAAATAGTTGGTATCTAATAGAAAATTGAAATATTCCATTATGAACCACCGCCTCTTAAAATTATTTGATATTCCTCTGAATTCATCTAATTATTGCTTTTAGTGATCCTATTTTCTTATATGCCAATTTTACAAAGCTATAAACAGCATATCCAAGGGGGTATTCAGATGTGGACAGGAAACTTATTAAAATCTGTGATTAACTTCCAATAACGTTTCCACTTCATTTGTTCACATGACTCGGTACGGGTGCCGTAACGGACAATAACAGACAAATTAATGGGGACATCCTATTGTCAACTTCAGCAATCATTATCACCATTATCTAAATGACCAGTGTTTTGTGTTAAAACCCTATTGCAGATGTCCACAAGCAGGGGTCATATCTAATGACCATGGGTCAAGTGTAAAACTTTGTTCTGAATGGAAATCTTACCCATAGATCACTTGTCCGTCATAAATTGACCATTTCAACAAACAAGTCATTTGCATAAATTAATATGGAATTCAAATGGAATTAGGCTCATTTTTTTGTAATCTTCATAGCAAGAAACAAATTTCCCTAGTCACAATAATTCAAAAAGATATTTCATAACTAATAACTGAAATTTTGCAAGATATTTTATCATCAATGTTATATGTGGCTCCTAATTTTAATATTGTAATGCTAATCCTCAGTGGTGTTATTTTGTTTTTTTTTCCATTACAAACACAAAATTGACCTATGTTGTCTTTGAATTTCAACTTTCCTGGGTTTTCCCTTTTTCAATTTTCCTTCTGAAGTCAAACTGGTAAATCATTAAAAGTTTGTTTTCAAATCAAAATAAAAAACAGAGACTAACATGACTAAGTTTGCTCCTTTAATAAATTGAAAAAAAATCAGTATCTATTACTTTTGTCATACATGTACCCACCAAAAATGTATTTTTTTTTTTATGTTACATTATTTATACGATAACACAAATTAATTCCCTTATTTTCAGAAACATCTTTCAGTAGACTTAGGATCTTTACAAGCATCAATAAACAAGTAAGTTAATTCTAATAATCATAACTTTATTTCAAACCATTCTCAACTTGTTTTATTTATGCACTGAACAGATTTATGGCTTGCAATATTATTTGGACATTTGTCCATCACTGGGGGATGTAAGTTAGTCTCAGCATGTCTATTTTTTTGTGTAGCTGGGTTGTTGTCATAACATTGATTTTATTCATTATTTTTTCCACTCATTATTTTTGTTGGTAAATAACAATTACAGATCTTTTTCATATTCATTTTTATAACATGTATACATGTAATACTGAATAGTTTGATCTTTTTGTTGCAAATAGCAAATATAAAACTTACTGAGGAATTGAAAATTAATGCAATACTGGGACAATATTAAGTATTCTGGGTCAATTTGAATCCTTCATTTAAATATGCTAGAGGGATTGTTAAAAACATTTTAAGGATGAAGAGTGTAAAAAGAGATGGTGTTAACCATGTTTTCTGTCGAACTTAGTCTTCTTGAGACTGCACATCCAATTAAGTTTGAATTATTCTTTCTTCAAATGTTTTAACCAACGGCAAAACACGTGCATAGAATTAGCGACAAGAGCTTTGCCGTGTCCCTAAGATATTTCAAACATATGTCAAAGTTTTGGATAGCTGCCCATTAGCAGATATAATTTTATGCAAGAATTTCATCTTTGTCGACAGCATCCTACTCGTTAACTTGGTAAAAACATAACACGCTTCATACTTCAAAGAGACTGTGATTTAAAACTTGGACAATAACTCAGCAAGTTATCGAGTAGCTTCAAGGTATACCATAACACAGTTCTCGGCAGTCAATTCGTCAATGCCTCTTTACATTGTACTACTGGGTTGAACTCTCAACAAAACCTTTTAATACAATATACATCTTTCTTTATCTTTAAATGAAATATGCAAAACTGAATGAAACAAAATCTAAACCACAAATTGGTAGTTTCCTTTTAAACAGAATTAACTTTCAAGATTAGGTAATTGGTATATAAAAATATGTGAAAGAGTACTCAAAGGTCAATCACTAAGATTCACGAAAGCTTCATCAACATGATCACTAAGGATAGAATTTTAACCCAGATGTAAAAAACAATATCAACATGATCAATATGTGTAATGTAATTTTACAAACAAGCACATGTATTTAACATATGTAATTGCAATCCTGATGAATGAACATTTGGTTAACTTGATAGTATGTATGATGATATTTCAGCTTTTCATCCTTATTATTCTAATTTATCCAGCAATCAACCTTTCTACTATACAAATACAGGTGTACAGATAACACGAAGCCATAGACCACGTTTATAAACCCCTTGTATCCTGCTTATGTTGCTAGCAAAAAGGTATAATTACTGTTTACGTCACATTTCAACATGTTCAATATGGGGTCCTTGTGTGGTATTGTTTAAGTCATATTGATTTCATTTAAAAACAAATTCAACTGTTTGTATGTAAAATAATTATAAGTTTATGCTCAATGTTCATGATGATTAATTGTAGGATAAAAACAATATTCACAAAATGAAGGAAAAGTTTGAATTTATTTGTCATCGCTACGAAAAGTTTGTACAACAACTAAATTTCATATTTTTCTACACTGTACATATACTGTTTATTGTATTAATTCTTTTTTTTCAAGAAATATCAGCTTATTGTTTTACTTTGTTTACATGAACACATCTGATTAGTAATTACTTATTTAACTGTTTTTGTCCTTTTTTATTAAGTGCTTTGTCATATGGCATCTTTTGATTTATTTTTTAATCCATATCTTTCATGTAGCACATTTTGTTTTGTAAATCTATCTATCTATTTTTGTTGGTAAAGATTTATATTGAGAAAACTAGACTTTTGCCAATTTCCTGGTTTTACAAGTGTATCATTACTTACAAAACAATCAGCACTTTATTATCAGAGCAAAGTACCTACCTACATGTAAAATGTATCACTTTATTTGAGTCATATGTGAACCAAGAAATACTACATCTGCACAGCTGTCAAATAATACAATATGATCAGATGATATTCTGTCCTTTCCTAAACATTCTCAACAAAAAAAAAGAGGAAATTTAAGTTACCTGAACAAACCACTTAATTAAAATTCAAGTAACAAAAGTTGTTTAGCTAATTTCAAAAAGAAACAAAATTTTCAATAAGTTTTTCATTACCCGCTGGACAAGTGGGTTTAACTAATTTGTGGTTTTACGGATCACTGTGAAGTCCATACAAAATTTGTCAAATTGTATAAAAAATAAATCTGTTTCCCTCAGGTATCTCTACGTTCATAGATCTATTTGATGTTTTATAAACTTTACACCGATAGCTGTTGATGAGTGCTAATTTTCTCAATGGGATATTGTCAACATTTGCATTTTGCCACCGAAGAAGATTTAAATCTGACCCTTAGTTCAGTGTTAAAAATCTTCAAAGAAAAATTAGTGTTGTCAGGAAAAATATTCTAAATGAAGATGCTCGGATTGGATAACCAAGGGGCAGGGTTGGAGGGTGAAACAGGAGAATCTTTGTTAATTAAGTGCTTGCGTCTATAATGTTATCAGGTGACAGGACAAGGGCAGGTGTGAGAATCACTCTTGACACCAAACAAGGCAAATGTAAACGATAGGTAGAAAAGAATTAAATTAGCTGTAAAAAAGTAGCTTTCTGTTGTCACTAATAACAGGTCTAAAACATCAATTTAATAGAAAAGACACATTTAAACAATGTTTGGCGGTTAGTTTTACACGAAAAAGACATATTTTATGTTCTTAAATACACAAAAGACCAGTCAGCGACAAGATGGGCTGTGCCTAATCTAAATTCAGAAGATAAAAAAGGGGGTTTTACAATGACAAATACAATAAAATGTCTTAACTAGAAATAAGAGAACTTTGAGAAAATTCATCATTTAAAAAAAATTCAATTTCAACAATAGGTAAATAATGGATTTTTTCCCTTCAGACATACAAATAAAAAAAGAACAAAGTTAAAAAAAAACAATGCATTAAGATTATGTTGTCACAAGAAAAATTGTTAATTCAAAAAGAATATTCTCTATGTATAAATTTCCATCTGATTGAGATCACACCATGCAACTGATTTAAATTAAGATATTCTTAAAATGTGGTCGATATCATTCACCAATGCTCAAAAATATAAATATTAAATGTATGAAGAACATAGCTAAACTAAAGGGGTAGGGGATGTACAATGTACATGTACTCAGGCAAAAATCTCATGAAATAGTAGGAAATATGTCACAGAAAACAGCACTTTTATTGTCAATATTCATCTTGACAGTTGTTGTCATTTTGTTTTCTTAAATTGTGATAACAACCTCTTCAAAAATTTGTTCA